TGGCGCCTCAGTCAGTTCAACAGTGGAAACATCGAATGGTAGGTTTATTACATTTATATGCCATAGTTTTTAATAGCAGCCAAATTCGGATCAGGGGATGGTGATACAAGTATGATTCAGTACATTCAAGTTATATGAGTTGATCGGCGATGTTTTCGCTATTTCTAAAATAAAAAACAAATATCATATTGGGAAGAAATGTGTTAACTCCATGTTGGATTTTACAAAGGATTGTAGGATAGAAAATTGAACTATAGAGGGCGTTGAGGGGGTGGGGGCTCGTATCTTTTCCATACAGCTCTGTGTTTAAATCAACTGTTAACCTGTATCTGCACCATGCCCGTAGCTGAAGGCTTCCTAAGGCGTCCTAGTCTGTGATATAAAGCATATATAATCATGTTCTAACCCAATAGCCTTGAGCGGATTAAAGTGCGGTGGTCGTTGCGCTGCGCATGTGCGACATTTGTGTTGATAAATATTGATTCACCCACAATCCAATGCGCTCTTCTAATGTAAATCATAAGTATGAGGTTTGACCTGGGCGCACAAATTACAGCCGGTGATTCCTTCGATACCTTCCAATCACATGAAAAAATCCTAATTAAAGCTTGGTAACGTCTCAGTCTCTACTCGTTGATCTGCGCAACAGTCAAAGTTTATACGAGACCCATAACCTTGCGCATGCGTGGCGCGACGACTACCGCCCTTTAACTTGACCTAACACCCTTTTACGAACGTTTTACTGGCTTTGATCGTACCAAATTCAATTTGTATCCGACCACCGACAGGAAAACTTGATGTTTTACAATGCTCTTGTGTTTGAAATGTTTCCCTCTCAGAAATGGGTGAAACTCCATCATGTCCAGCGGCAGGCTTTATACTCAGAAAACCAATAAACATTAGCGGGCGTCGATTACCATAGCAACCGCCAGGCGTGCCCGTCCTCGTTCTCGCCTTTACCAGTATAATGCGGACTCGGGAAAAACTAACTGTAAATACTATGACAAAGTGAGCAATTTTTCTAGGACTTCCAACTCCGCTGGTGATAGAAATGAGTCCGCCTTTTAAAAATTATTGTGCTTTAAAAAAACGGACCTTCGAGCGCGCGGCGCGGGGGGGGGGTGATCCGAACCACCCTCGGCTGGCCACAGGCATGTGCAGTAATACCTACAGTGTTGCTGTTGTTTTCTCTTATTGGGAGCGCATATATGTAACAATTTGGAAATTGCAAATAATAAGTTGATCCAGCAACATGCCGTATTTTTTTTTTAATTTTCGGCATTACCGATTGCAATGGTAATTGGTCTATCTGTACTTATTCTGTTGTTAATCGTGATTCTCGTGATACTTCTCTGCCGAAAAAGGTAAAGTTGAAAACACGTGAACGGAGTAGCACTCTGCCCTAAATTCCCGATTTCCCAATCAACGA